CCCCTCCAGGTCCCACGAGGAGGAGCCTCACCTGTCTCTCCACCTGGGACCAGGAAGGCCGAGCTGCCACCACCTGCCCTGGGTCACAGTCTGACAGTCCTGGATCCCATCTTACCGGGCTGGAGCCTCCCCACACACTTGGCAGGCATGTCACCCCCCAGCTGCAGCCCCATGTAAGAGCCTCCTGGGAAAACAGGGCAGAGGGTCCTATTCTACACAGCAGGCCCAGTGGGCCATTTACAGCCGCCTGGTGTCTGGTGGGCTTGGCCGCGGGGAGAGGGTGTGCAGGTTAGAAGCATGGCTCTGGCTGTGTCAGGGAGGACACAGTGGAGAGGCAGGCCCATGACCAGGCAGGGCTGCTGTTCCAGCCAGGGGGAGGCACCCAGCTGGTGAGGGGTCGCGGGAAGGTGGAGCCTGGCGCGCTGGACAAGAGGGACCCTCTTAGACCCAAAGGACCTGGCAGGGGATGCAGGAGCTGCACACCTTTGGGGAGCAGGGGACCCAGAAGCCCCGAGCCAGACACCCGACCCCACACGGCCACGGGCAGGGCCCCCGCGCTGGGCCACGCATGCCTCACCTCCTGGTGCAGTCACCGGGTGCGAGGTCAACCCACAGCCGCGTTCAGAAAACTCCAACCCACTGGAGACCCAGGCCCAGCTGTCCTGGGGGCACTGCTGCAGGGAGCTAGGGCTTGGCCATACCAGGCTCCCTAAAGTCTCTGCCACTAAATGACACTTTCGTTCTTGCCTTCCCAGAGCCAGCAGGGCAGAAAAACCCAGGGGGTTCATCAGGTCCTGCAAGGGGAGGGCAGAGGCAGGTGGTGGGGGGGGGCGGTCAGTGCATTTTTTGACTCCTCTGGAATCTGGCTGCTGTGACCTGCTTTGGCCGAGGGAGTGTGGTGGAGATTTCACTATGTGCGTTCTGGACCTCGGCCTCAAGAGACCCCAGGCTTCCAATTTGCCCTCCTGGAACGCTGGCCGTGTGCCATGTGTTAGGAGGAAGCTGACGGAGGGTGGGGAGGATTCCAGGCTACACGGCTCTGGCAGAGCGCCCGGCAGCCGAGGGACAGCAGCCCCGGGTGTCCAGCGTGATGCCACGTGGGCCCTTCCCAGCCAGCTAACCTTGGCCCAGGGCCGCAGCCTGTGTGAGGCCCCAGGAAGCCGCTGGCACTGCCCTGATCCCCGCTCTGAGAAAAGAATAGGCAGGTGGTGCTTAAGCCACCAAGAAGTCAGGATTCCACACGGGCTGTGGTCTGCCCACGTGAATGGGAGGGAGGGAGGGTGAGGGGCAGACACAATGGCCGGCCAGATAGGCTTCCCTTGATAAGGAGAGGAGAACAGACAGAGGGGATGAGGAAGCCGCAGACGCAGGCCGTGCACAAAGACTGCAGATCTCAGGGCTGCTCGACAGCAGAGCTGGGAGCTGGGAGGCGGGCAGAGAGAGTGAAGAGGCTGGAGTGTAGAGGGGTGCAGTTGGGAGAAAGGACCCAGTGGGGTAAGTGGGGAGGGGACAGGACCCCTGAAGGAGAGGAAGTCAAAGTTGGAGAACTGCCGGTGTGGATTTTGAAGGCATGGCTGGGAGAGTGACAGGGAGCAGGTGTCCCCTCCTGCAGGAAAGGGGTGCCAATGACTTCAGCGTGGTGAGGTCTGGTCACAAAGCAGAGGTGGTTTTCATGGAAAAGGAAAGCAGTCTGGGAGTGCCAGTGAGGAAGGACAAGGGCACCGACCTCGTCCTGGTGCAGCGGAGAGAAAAGCAGCACCTGCCGGGAGCAGGAACGGGCTGGGAGGGCATCCCAGACAGGCAGGGTGGGCAGGAGACACCAGCACCATCCCGCCTGGGGACACAGCTCCCACCGCTGCTGAGAAGGCGTGCAGGTGGGGTGGGAGTGGCACCAGCCTGGTGCTCCTGCTTCTGCCTGAGTCCTAGTCTCTCTCCTGCAGCCTGGATTCCTGCGGCCCTGGCCTTCTATCACTGCAATCTCAGCAAGCACCCAGGAACAGCTCTGCGCCTGCCTCGGCTCTCCAGGAGGGAAACTCACGCCGGCTCCAGCCTTGGTTCCTCGGTGGCTTTGGTCCCAGCTGCCTGAGTGCACAGCCCGCTGCCCTTGGCAGGAGTTGAGGACCACGCTGATGACTGCCTGCAGGGGGTGGCTACAGGTCTCTGATGTCAGGAGCCGGCGTGTGAGGGGGGTGCTGAGGGCCATGGCGAGATGGTAGCTGCCACCTTCAGGTCAGAGGTTGGGAGGGGAGGTCACGGCCAGCACCTCGTAGGCCCTTTGGGGACACTGGCTGGGGTCATGGAGTGCGGCCACAGTGGCCTGATGTGAGGAGACCCCCCCACGAGGCTGAGGCCCCACAGGTCCAGCCTAGAAGACACCCTGGTTTTCCCCACAGGCTCCCCACTGACGTGTGAATGTCCTCATCAGTCACCCCCCTTAGCTAACACGGGGCCATGCAGACGCCCCGGGGCCACTCGCCATTTGGAGCTTGACCCACTCAGGGCCAGGAGGCTGGCTGGATTTCAGCGGCTCCCAAGAAGCACCTGTTAGATGGGGAGGGGGGTGGGGAACCCGCTGAGCCTCTGCCTCTGTGGGAGACAGGAAGGGATCCCGGAAGGAGGGAGCAGGGGTAAGGAGGGAAGGGTCACTCTCCCTGGGTCAGGGCCCCCGCCCACCTCCACTATTCCAGTCTTGAGTGCCGCACCACAGATGACCCCAAAACAGCATGCTCAGCAACCACCCTACTGTACGCAGACGGTCTTGGAACAGGGCACGCTGCGACCTCGGCTGGAAGCTGCTCAGGAGTCTGGAATCCGATGCTCGTTCCTCCACCGGGCCTCTCCTTGAGGCCAGGGTGGGCTCCCTCCCAGCACCGCAGCTGGCTTCCAAGAGTGACTGTCCCAGGACAGTGAGGTGCGCGTGGCGTCTTCCAAGTCAGCCTCAGAAGTCATGTCTCGCCAAACTCCCCATTCTTCCTGGCTGAGGCTGTCACAGAGTCTCATGTAGAAGGCATTTCAAGGTACGGGGATGGGAGATACTGTCACAGCCATCTCTGAAAAACGCAACCTGCCTCCAACCCCGGGAGTCACCATCCCCTGCTGCAGCCCAGGGTCCACCCCCACACTCGGAGCAAGGGAACCCCAAGGCCCTCAGGAACCCTGAGGCCCCTACCACAAATCAAGGCCAGATTCGAGAGGCAGGGAGGGGACCGTCACAGGCCAAGAGCACAGACCCCGAGAGACAGACACACAAACGGGAGCTGTCCTGTGGCCAAGATGGTGGGAGGAACACAGGCCCCGGAGACCCTGAAGTGGGCTCCCTGGCGGGGGCGGGGGTCTCTTCCTTTCCAGCAGAGCAGAGGCAAGTGCAGGTGGCCCCTCCTGCCTCTGCTCAGCGAGGATCCTGCCTGCTGCCCGGGGGCAGGAACCCTGGCAGATGGGCACCAGTGCTCACTATGAGTTGGACACCATCAGTGGCTTTATTATTTTTTTTATTTTTTTTTTGAGACAGAGTCTCGCTCTGTCGCCCAGGCTGGAGTGCAGTGGCGCAATCTCGGCTCACTGCAAGCTCCGCCTCCCGGGTTCACGCCATTCTCCTGCCTCAGCCTCCTGAGTAGCTGGGACTACAGGCGCCCGCCACCGTGCCCGGCTAATTTTTTGTATTTTTAGTAGAAACGGGGTTTCACCGTGGTCTCGATCTCCTGACCTTGTGATCCGCCCGCCTCGGCCTCCCAAAGTGCTGGGATTACAGGCGTGAGCCACCGCGCCCGGCTCATCAGTGGCTTTAAAAGTAGAATCTCCTGGCCAGGCGCGGTGGCTCACACCTGTAATGCCAGCACTTTGGGAAGCTGAGGCGGGTGGATCACCTGAGGTGGGGAGTTTGAGACCAGCCTGACCAACATGGAGAAACCACATCTCTACTAAAAATACAAAAATTAGCCGGATGTGGCGGCACATGCCTGTAATCCCAGCTACTCCAGAGGCTGAGGCAGGAGAATTGCTTGAATCCGGGAGGCAGTGCTGTGGTGAGCCGAGATTGCGCCACTGCACTCCAGCCTGAGCAACAAGAGGGAAACTCCATCTCAAAAAAAAAAAAAAAAAACACAACAAAAAGCCTCCTTTTACAGATGAGGAAACAGGTATAAGGAAGGGAAGTGAGCCCATCCAACAACCAGTGAGGGGAAGATCAGCCCCAGCCACGCTTGGCAGGGAGGAGGCTCACGCCTGTAGTTCCAGCACGTTTGCAGGCTGAGGCAGGAGCATCGTCTCAGTCCAGGAGTTCGAGACCAGCCTGGGCAATACAGGGAGATACCAGTCTCTACACACACACACACACACACAAAGAAAGGAACGATTCTCAGGCCCCTCCTTCCATCCTGAACTCCCTGCCTGTTTGGGGACTGGGGGAGGCCCAGAGCCCCCCAGAATCCCTTCCCAAGCCCAGGCCCAGAGGCTGGGGAGATTCAGGCGGGCAGCTCCCCTGGCATGACCCCCAGCAGGAGGCGGCGGCGACTGCGGCCACTGGGGGCGCTCGCGGGCTTTCCCGCCCTGGCCCAGTGCCTGGGAGGGGACGCGGAGGGAGGACGAGGGTGGGCGCGGGGCGGGGCCACCATCCACACCATTTCCAGGGCTGCGGGGCCGGTCCGAGCCTCTCCAGCGCCAAGGCGCGCGCAGAGGGGTCGGGGCGGGAGAGCCGGGTTCCACTGGGTGCTGCCGGGGCTTAAGTGCTCGCGGGGCCACCCCCGAGACGCCCGCCCAGCCCCCGCGGCTTTCCCCGGTCGGCGAGGGGCGTGGACAGCGTCTCCGCGGAGAGGGCGCCACCCCCACTCCGGCCTCACAGCCCCCCGGAGGCGCGCGCCCCTGTGCCGGCGGCGAGGTGTGGGGGGCGCCGCGGGGGGACCGCGGAGGGCCAGGGTCAGCGCCGAGAAGACGGGACCTCCCCGCGTGGGCCGCAGGACTTGCTTGGGGCCAGATTAGACGTGGGGTCCGAGGGGAGGGGAGGCTTCCGGACAGAGACCCCGGGTCCAGGTGCCCCGGCAGGGATGAACCTGCCAATCAGCCGACTCCCTGGCTCAGCAAAGCTCCCTAAAAGGTTCCCCGACCCCTTCCCGGCCAGAAGCTCCCGGTTCCCGCTGGTCCAGCTGTCCCTCCCCGCTTCCCTCGACCCTGCGCCCCTTCGCACCCTGGGAATGCCACGCCCTCCCTTGAGGCTTTGCCCCTGAGGACCCCCCACCCCGCCGAAGCCTTTGGGACTACCCGGTGGAAAGGGCTTTTCTCCCCCCAGGCCACCCACCCGATTCGGTTCTCCTACAACGGCGTGACTGCGGAGTCGGCCATCGGCCTCCTGCCCGGATTAAAAGCCCGGGAGGGTCCCCACACCCGGGCCCAGGCCCGGCTCTCCAGGGGGCTCAGGAAGCCTCAGCTGCACGGACGCGCGAGGCCCCTGGGGACCCCGAGTGCCGAAAGGACCAGCGTACCCCGCAGGGGCGTTGGAAATAAAAACAGCAAACACGAAGATAGCCACAGCCCTGTTTTACGGAACTTGCCCCTTTGCCGTTACACACATTAACAGTGACCCCTCATTTTCCGTGAACCCCACTTTGCTGCTGCCGAGTTCGCCAGAGGGACACCCGGAAGCAGGTGGCGACAAGGGCCCCATGACATCATCCCAGCAGGCTTGCGTCACCGCCCCGGGGCCCGGTGACGTCACCAGCTCGCTCGCGTCACGCGCACGTCCCGCTCCTCGTGGTCCTGCCCGGCCCGCGCCATCACCGGCCCGGCCCCGCGGGGTGACCCGTGCGCCCCTTCACCATCCGCTGCCGCCGGCCTCCGGCCTGCCGACCCGGCTCTGTGGTTCCCAAGGCTTTCTCTAGCCCTCCGTGCCCCCGGCCGCACACCTGAGGGTGGGACCCCCGGGGGCAGAGCCGGTGTCGGGTCAAACTCGGAGACCGAGCAGAGCCCAAACCGGGACCAGAGGGAGGGCGGGCGGAGGAAGCGAGGAGGCTCGAGACCGAGGCGCGCCCACCCCTCGGCGCCGCCGGACCCTGCGCCACTGGGGATATTTCCTTCCCGGCTTCCCGCGCTGCCAGCCCCAGCTCCGTCCCGCCCCGGCTCCCGGCCCCCTGGGCGGGAGAGCGAGCCCCGAGACTCCGCCCAGCCCCGGGGGTCCCGGTCCCCGTTCGCCCCCAGCGGCCCCTCCCGGCGCGCTGCTCGGCCCTGGCTGCAGCGGGGTCGCGCGCTCACCCGGCCGTGGCCCCCGCGGTGTCGGAGCGGGGCGCGGGCGGGGCGGCCCCGCAAGCCTTTATCGCCCGCGGAGGCCGCGCCGGGAGCCGAGGCGTGACTGACAGCGGGCGGGGGAGGAGCGCGGCCGCCGATTGGCCGGCGCGAGTGTGGGAAAGAATGCGGAGCCGGGTTCACACACCCCGCGGCGGCGAGGCCTTAAATAGGGGAGCGGCCTGAAGCGCGCGCGGGCCTGGGGACGGGACCCGCTCGAGGGTCTCGGATCGCCGCGCGCTCGCCGCTCGCCCGCGGTCCCCGGCGGCGCGCTCCAGCCGGCACGGGGAGGCGCGGGGCGCACCATGGCCGCAGACACGCCGGGGAAGCCGAGCGCCTCGCCGATGGCAGGAGCGCCGGCCAGCGCCAGCCGGACCCCAGACAAGCCCCGGAGCGCGGCCGAGCACCGCAAGGTGGGGTCCCGGCCGGGCGTGAGGGGGGCGACCGGGGGGCGGGAGGGACGGAGGAACGCGGGACTCAGCCGGTGCCCGACCCGCAGTCCTCCAAGCCGGTCATGGAGAAGCGGCGCCGAGCGCGCATTAACGAGAGTCTCGCTCAGCTCAAAACCCTCATCCTGGACGCCCTCAGAAAAGAGGTAAGTCGGGGGCGAAGGCCGGAGACCCGGACTCTGGGGCGCAGCTGAGCCTGGACCTCCCGCCCGTCCCCGCCCCCAGAGCTCCCGCCACTCGAAGCTGGAGAAGGCGGACATCCTGGAGATGACCGTGAGACACCTGCGGAGCCTGCGTCGCGTGCAGGTGACGGGTGAGGCGCGGGCGGCCGCGGCTTGGAGGCGACGGGAGGGCGCGGGATCCCCGGGGCCCGGCACCGACCGCTCCTCCCGTGTCGCTCCCGTAGCCGCGCTCAACGCCGACCCCGCGGTCCTGGGCAAGTACCGCGCCGGCTTCCACGAGTGTCTGGCGGAGGTGAACCGCTTCCTGGCCGACTGCGAGGGCGTCCCGGCCGACGTGCGCTCCCGCCTGCTGGGCCACCTGGCAGCCTGCCTGCGCCAGCTGGGGCCCTCCCGCCGCCCCGCCTCGCTGCCCCCGGCTGCCCCCGCAGAGGCCCCTGGGCCCGAGGTCTACGCGGGCCGCCCGCTGCTGCCGTCGCTCGGCGGCCCCTTCCCCCTGCTCGCGCCGCCGCTGCTACCAGGCCTGACCGGGGCGCTGCCCGTCGCCCCCAGGGCAGGGCTGCAGGGCCAGGGCGGACCCTGGAGGCCATGGCTGCGCTGAGGCTGCGGCCCTGGGACTGCATCGGAGGCGGCGCCCCGTTCTAGGGCCGCGGCCTTTGCTGAGACTGTAGCAGAGAATACGTATTTATTATTCCAGAGGCCGCGTCACTAGTTTTCCTTTTCTGTCTTGGTGAAGAGTCGACTTTGGGAGCGACCCGCAGCCACGCCGCGCCGGGGTCCCGCCCTCCTCCCAGGGCCGCGGGCCGCAGGTGGCTGGGGGTGTCGGGCGGACCCGTGGGGCGGACCCCTCGGCTCCGCGCCCTCCCCTTCCCTCCGCAGCCTCCCTCCCCTCCGCACCCCTGCAGCTCCGCCCGCGCACGCGCCCTCTGCCCTCGCGTGGGGTTTGCCTCGCTCTGCCGTGGCGGTTGTGAGGGTTCCCCCCGGAGGCCCGGATGGGAAGCTGAATGTCCCTGAGTGCCCAGAACCTTCCCAGTGCTGGAAGGCGGTCGCGCAGCATCGCCAGGCAAGTTACTTTCTAGAGGCCCCTTTCCCGCCTCCCAGTCCCCGGACCGCGGAAGGCGGAGGCTGCGGTCCGGGGCCGCGCTGGGGTGAGGGCGGCCGCCCTTGGGCCTGAAGACCCGCGCTGGGTTCTCCTGTTAGGTGCACAGCTGCCCGTGCCCACCGCGGACCCCTTCCCCGGGTGTCTGTGCGGGGAGGGCCCGACCGGAGCGCGCGCGGGTCCGAGCTGGGCTGCGGACACTGAGTGCGGGGGCCGAGGACGTCGCTCACGAGGGCGTGGGCCCAGCCCCGGTAAGGGAGGTTCCGCCTCCCCAGTGGGTGAGGACTGGGGGCTCCTCCCTCATAGCCCTGAGCACGTGCCGCTGTTGACCACCGAGTTAACCAGGCAGCGCCGGACATACCCTGAACCACCAAGGCGGTCGCCATCCCGGGTCCTGTGTTCGGGGGGGGCTCGGCGCAGTTCCAGGCACGCAGCCGAGGCAGAGAGGGCCATTTCCCAACTGGGGCCGAGTTCACCGGGGCCCACGGGAGGCGAGTGAGCCGTCCCATCAGCGCTGGCCCTCCAAGGCTCCAGTCTGTGCCTCCATCAGGAACCCCCGGGCCCTCCAGGACACAGCCGTGCGCAGCTTGCAGGAGCCTCGCAGTCCGGCCACCCCTGGCTCCTGGCTGCCCTGCCCTCTCCCTGAGCTCTGAGGGCCAGGCCAGTGACCCTGGGCGGAGGCAGCGTTGGGCTGGGGGCCGCACCCTTGGTCCCACCAGCAGTCCTACCCCGGGGGTCCTAGTCCCAGGGGAGCCTCAAAGTAGCCCTTCTCCTCGGGAGCTTCAGACCCTGTGAGGGAGGCCTCCTCAGCAAGGGGAAGGGACCGTCTTCTTGGGGGCAGGTGGAAGCTCAGCGTGGCCAGGGGAGGGGAGCTGCTCAGAGAAGGCATCAGTGCAGAAGGGGAGGGAGGGCCTGGGGCAGCGAAGCTGGGAGTGTGGGGAGGAGCTCAGGGGCAGTTGGGGCACCCTGCAAAGTCACCCAGGCTGTGGGTCCTAAGAGGGCAGGACATCTCTCCACCAGGCCCTGGCCTCGAATGCCCTCTCCACTGTGGCTAAAGGGCCCTTCGTAGCTGCCCAGGGACCACTCCGGCTCTGGGGGAATCAGTGGGCAGGCCCTTCGCACTCTGGGTCCCTCTGTGCTCCGCACCACCCGGCCCCGGCTTCTCCCCTGACTTTCCTCCTAACCTGTCCCATCTGCCGCAGGCTTGGTGGTGTATCATCCGGGCCCAGCTGGACGGGGCTCCAGAGGGCAAGGGCCGTATGTCCGGAAGCTCTGTCCTCAGTACCCAAAACACGGAAATGGACCCACAGGGCCCTAATCCGTCCATTTGAGTGACAGAGCTGGGAGGTTTGGGTTAGACTAAGGAGGTCTCAGGAAACACAGCCTGAGGGGCCGGACTGGACGGGCAACATAGGGGCTGTCCTGGGCTACCCCTCAGGCTGCCCCCTTCTCAGAGCCCCCCGCCATGGCCTCCGGGAGCCAGCCTCTGCCTACACCCAGCCAGGACGCCCGCCACAACCTGCGTCCTGTGGCCCCAGACGGGGGATGCCCCCTCACACAGAAGTCCTTTCTGCCTTCCCCACCGTCCAGACGTTTCCTGCCCCTCCCCGCCTCAGGTGGTGGCCGCTGGGCAGCTGGGATCTGGCCCAGTTCCCCGCCCCTGACCCTCCCCAGCGATTTTTATCTTGGCTTTTGGTTTTTTGCTGAATAATAGATGAAAGTCATCTTCTCGGTGGAGCGGGTGTGGCTGGTGGCCCCTGGTCACTTCCAGTTCATCTCCCACTGCCTCCTTGATGAAGACCGAGGGTCAATAAATGTTTGCTGAATTCCTTTGCCTCTGTGCTGTCTGGGCTTGTCTGTTGTGGGGGGAACTGGGCAACACAACTGCAGATAACGGGCTTTTGAAATCTGGAGAACCTCAGTCCCTGTGTTGACAGAAGTCTAGGCCAGGCCCGTGAACTCCAGGCACTGGGAAGTTAGGGATGGGGGTGGGACTGGGGCTGCCTGGAGCCCGGGCTTGTGAGAGGTGAGGCTGAACTCGCCCTCCCGGGTCCCTGTGTTCACCTGGGTCCCAGCCTCCTCTGGCTCCCCTGGCTCCAGGACTGTCTCCTCACCATGCCTGGCTGCTGCCCCACTGCCCCCTGGAACCCCGGGGCTGTACCCACCTCGGACGCAGCCAGGGCAAGGGGCCTGGGGTGGCAGCCTCCCTGATGTCCCACCGGCCCCTCCTGGCATTCACACCTCAGTGTCCTGAGGGTCCAGTGGTCTGCAGGGTCAGTGGGGTCCTGCCAAGGTGATGGGCTGAGAGTGAGACCCTGTCTCAGAAAGAATCAGTTGACCGTAAATGCGAAGACCTATTTCTGAACCCTCAGTTCTCTTCCACCGATCAATACATCTATCCTTGTTCTATTATCAATCACACTGTCTTCTTGATGACGGTAGCTTTGCAGTAAGGTTTTTTTGTTAGGTTGGGTTTTGTTTTGTTTTGTTTAGACAGAGTCTCTGTCACCCAGGCTGGAGTACAGTGGCGCGATCTCGGCTCACTGCAACCTCTGCCTCCTGGGTTCAAGCCATTCTTGTGCCTCAGCTTCCCTAATAGCTGGGATTACAGGCACCCACCATCACACCTGGCTAATTTTGTATTTTTAGTAGAGATGGGGTTTCACCTTGTTGACTAGGCTGGTCTCGAACTCCTGACCTCAAGTGATCTGCCTGTCTTGGCCTCCCAAAGTGCTGGGATTACAAGCTTGAGCCACCGCGCCCGGCCCACTCTCAGGCGTTTATGGCAGTGTGAGAACGGATTCACAGTCAGCCTATAAGCTCAGCATAGAGCGTGGAGAGAGGAAACTGGTGGGCAGAGGAAGGCGGTGGCATCTGAGCCATTGGGCTCGCTCTGACCTGGTCAGGGCAACGGGTATGGGGGACCTTGGGGGTAGGGACAGGCGGAGCTGGGGCAGCTCTCCTCTTCTGGGACTGACTCCAGGTACATGTATACCAGTTGAACTTGTCCCACAGCTCACCATTCTTCTATTTTTCTGTTGCTTTTTTTTTTTTTTGAGATGGAGTCTCACTCTGTTGCCCAGGCTGGAGTGCAGTGGTGTGATTGTTAAAGATGGTTCTTTCCTCCATTGAATTGTCTTGGCACCCGTGTTGAAAAATCAGTTGACTGTAGGCCGAGCACAGTGGCTCACGCCTGGAATCCCAACACTTTGGGAGGCTGAGGCGGGCGGATCACCTGAGGTCAGGAATTCAAGACCAGCCTGGCCACCATGGTGAGACCCCGTCTCTACTAAAAATACAAAAATTAGCCGGGCGTGGTGGGACAGAAAAGACCTGGGGGACAGAAAAGAGGCTTAATTGGCTTGTGCTTCTACAGACTGCGCAGGTAGCATGGTGCTAGCACCTGCTCAGCTTTTTTTTTTTTTTTGAGACGGTCTTGCTCTGTTACACAGGCTGGAGTGCAGTGGCATGATTTCAGCTCACCGCAACCTCTGCCTCCTGGGTTCAAGCGATTCTCTTGCCTCAGCCTCCCAAGTAGCTGGGATTACAGGCATGCACCACCACACCAGGCTAATTTTTATATTTTTAGTCGAGATGGGGTTTCACCATGTTGTTTAGGCTGGTCTTGAACTCCTGACCTCAAGCAATCCACTCACCTCGGCCTCCCAAAGTGTTGGGATTACAGGCGTGAGCTGCCATGTCCAGCCCTGCTCAGCCTTGGGGGAGGCCCCAGGAGATTTCCAATCCTGGCAGAAAGAGAAGCGGGAGCAGGCAGGTCACATGGCCACAGCAGGAGCGAGAGGGGATGGGGGGTGGGTGCCACCCACTTTTAAACACCAGATCTCCTGTGAGCTCATGTACTAACCCAAGGATTGTACCACAGCGGGTGGTGCTAAACCATTCACGAGAAACCCGCCCCATGGTCCATACCTCCCCCCAGGCCCCGCCTCCAACACTGGGGATTACAGTTCAGCATGAGATTTGGGTGGGGACACAGATCCAGACCGTATCACTGACTGTGGCTTGTGCCAAACACACCAGATGGCAGGGCTGGCTGCGCTCCAGCATGGTTCCCTCTAGCTGCCAATGCCCCCAACCACGGCCTCTTAAGCCCCAGGCCCAGTGGCACCCTTGGTCTTGTCCCTCCCAGCCTGGTCAGGGATGCTCTGCTGGCTGTGGCCAGACTTCCTCCTTCACATGCACGGGGAGGCAGCGCGAGCTGTCGGCAGAGACGCCTGGGGGCCAGGACATCATGTTGTGTGCCCATGCGCCTTCTGTTTCTCCAGTTTGGCTTTAGGAAAAGAGAAGCTCCGTCAGCATGTCCCCAGGAAGCTGGTTTGTTGGGGAATGGGTGACAGCAGCACTCCAGGAAGCGGCCGATGAATCTACCATGCGGGATTTCGGCTGGATTTTTCCTGACTAAGCCAGGGGCTTGCTGATACCAAGCAGGCTGCAGGCAGAAGGCTTTCACTGCTTCACAAAATCCTTGGGGCAAATGCCTTCTCCATGTGGGGGCAGCGATGAAAGCACGAAGGGTCGCAGCTGATGTTACAGTGAGAGTGTCCCCCTTCCTGGCACTCAGGCAAGGACGCTTCCCAGATGATAGATAAAGGGGACCCTCCCCAGATGGACACAGGGACCCTCCCAGATGATGGACACAGGACCCTCCCAGATTATGGACACGGGGACCCTCCCAGATGATGCACACAGGACCCTCCCCAGATGATGGACACAGGACCCTCCCCAGATGATGGACACGGGGACCCTCCCAGATGGTGGACACGGAGACCCTCCCCAGATGGTGGACACGGGGACCCTCCCAGATGATGGACACAGGGACCCTCCCAGATGACGGACACACGACCCTTCGCACATGGACAGGAGGATCCCAGCAATGTTATAGATGATAGAATTCATAGACCAGGATATGAAAGCCCCTGCTACAACTTACTCCAGATAATCAAGAAGCTATTCCAGGTGTGGTTGCGTGCCTGTAGTCCCAGCTACTCAAGATGCCAAGGCCAGCCTGGGCCACAAGGTGAGATCTCATCTCTAAACAAAGACAGAAACCAACTAGAAAAGCAGAAGCTAGAGGAAATATCGAATGTGTTAGGGACTTTGAAGGTACGAAAATCCCAACGGGGAACTTCTAGAGATGAAAATTGTGACATGTGATTTGAGAAGTTCACTGGGTGGAAGTCCCAACAGGTTAGACACTGGAAAGGAAAACAGTAGTCAACTTGAAACTGTAACAATAAAAACTATTTAAAATAAAACATTTTACAAAACAGAGAAATAGAATGGTGAGCTGTGAGACAACGCTGAGTGGCCTCACATACGTGTAATTGGAGTTGGTCCTAGAAGAGGGGAAGAAGGTAAAATAGCTGAAGAAATAATGGCTGGAGGCCAGGTGCGGTGGCTCAAGCCTGTAATCCCAGCACTTTGGGAGGCCGAGACGGGCGGATCACGAGGTCAGGAGATCGAGACCATCCTGTCTAACACGGTGAAACCCCGTCTCTACTAAAAAAATACAAAAAACTAGCCGGGCGAGGTGGCGGGTGCCTGTAGTCCCAGCTACTCGGGAGGCTGAGGCAGAAGAATAGCGTGAACCCCGGAGGTGGAGCTTGCAGTGAGCTGAGATCCGGCCACTGCACTCCAGCCTGGGTGACAGAGCAAGACTCCATCTCAAAAAAAAAAAAAAAAGAAATAATGGCTGGAGTTATTCCGAGCTTGATGAGAACCATAAACCCAGCAGTCCAAGGAGCCTCTCAGCACAAGAACCTGGATGGAGACTCCCAGAGCGTCGTAATCACATCAATAAAATGCCGTGAGAAAGCAACAGTGCCCACTCCTGCCTCTTACTTTCGACATTCTAGGAAGTTCTTGCCAGAGCAATTAGGAAAGAAAATGAAATAAAAGAGGCCGGGTGCAGTGGCTCATGCCTGTAATCCCAGCACTTTGGGAGGCTGAGGCAGGCGGATCACCTGAGGTCAGGAGTTTGAGACCAGCCTGGCCAACATGGAGAAGCCCCAGCTCTACTAAAAATACAGAATTAGCCAGGTGTGGTGGCGTATGCCTGTAATCCCAGCTACTCGGGAGCCTGAGGCAGAAGAATCACTTGAACCCAGAAGGTGGAGGCCGTAGTGAGCTGAGGTCGTGCCATTGCACTCCAGCCTGGGCAATAAGAATGAAACTCCATCTCAAAAAAAAAAAAAATATATATATATATATATATATGTGTGTGTGTGTGTGTATATATATATACACACACACACATAGAGGAAAAGAAAACAGAAAATGAAATGAAAGGCATCCAGGGCCAGTCACAGTGTCTCACACCTGTGATCTCAGCACTTTGGGAGGCCGAGGTGGGAGAATCGCTTGAGCCCAAGAGTTCAAGACAAGCCTGAGCAACATAGTGAGACCCTGTCTCTACCAAAGGAAAAAAAGGAAAAAAATGCAAAAATTAGCCGGGCATAGTGGTGTGCACCTGCAGTCCCAGCTACTCTGCAGGCTGAGGTGGGACGATTGCTTGGGCCCAGGAGGCAGAGGTTGCAGTGAGCAGAGATTGCACCACTGCCTTCCATCCTGGGTGACAGAGTGAGATCTTGTCTCAAAAAAAAAAAAAAAAAAAAAAGGGACGTGGTACTGTAATCAGACTTTGGAGAGACGGCGATCACGAGTCAGGAGAAAATCCCTAAGGGAACCCGCACTAAAAAATTAATAGGATGGGGGTGTAATAAAGCAAGAAGGCTGACCAGCGAGGCATACAGGAATGCCTTGACAGGGCACCAAAGAAGGAAGAGTAATTTTCAATGAAATCCATATGTGAATTT